GATTATTTATAGAAACGGACTGTAAATGACATGTGACATGTCCTAATTCGATGGCAAATGAATAACTATCCTTATTCAACATATGATGGGTTTAAAAAAATACTATGCTTCTATGTAACCCAACACACATTTATCATATAAGGCTCGCCTTTAAGAAAAAATAACTTATAAATGGTGTTCATAAGTTTGACATCTTGACTGAGCTCTAAGTGGTTTTTTTTGCTCTTTAAAGCGGAAGACGTAAGCCCGTGTTTATGTGCTTTGGAAATTAATATGAGGCATGTTGGATTTGAGATCCATTTGAGAACTCCCACATGCAAACATTTATGTCTGATATTCCTGTCCGGCTGTCAAGAAGAGATGCAACCGAGACCCGCATTAATATTCATAGGAAATAATTTTGAAATGGTTAAAAACAGAAGTGATCAGGAATAACCTCTTTAGTTCATCAGGGCTCCTCAGTCTCGGGCCACTGAATTCTCAAACCGTTGGACAGGGGAAGCAACCTTATCGATCTCCAGAGGTATACCGTGTTTCTTATTTTAGATCAACCTGAAAAAAACGCTTGGATCAGTGCGGTTGAAATGTAAATTTTTCCTTTTTTTCAATCTTCCTTTAGTACTAAGAGGCTACAAGTCTATTGGCTGACAGCGGACTTCAGTGCATTCTATCGCAGGTACGTTGAATTGACATGAGACGTTCAACGCTTCTTAACTCATAATAACTTGGAGGGAAAGAGGTTGACTTTGTAAGGCGAATATATGGGAAAATTGATTTCCTGTTTGCAAACTAATACTAATAACGTTACAGTCCATCAAAAATAGTTATATACATGCGCCAACAGTGTCTTCAATAAGATGTCATACATTATCTTTGGTGTTATTTTTTTATTCTACCGGATATTGAACTGAGAATAAAAGGTTAGTTATAACGAATATTATGTTATTATTATCGTTTGTTTCTGATGATTTTCGTTATTGGTATTATGAGAACAAATGTAGAACCGTCCGGAAAATCTGAAAATACTAATGAGAAAAACCATTTCTGAAAGTTATCTTTATCCATCGAGACGGAAAACATATGAGAAGATGACAAATAAGAAACGCTTTCGACATAAAAGCAAACCAACAACAAAGACCAGTATTTATATATTTTAAGGATGGGAATACTTAATACTTCTATGCAGAAATGCTTAACCATCACTTCAATACTAAGATTTTTTCACTAGGGTTATTTAAGGAGAAAATTAAAATGCCCTGCTGCATTCCTTTTCCTGTTTCCAGTATTTCCGTTCCTGTTCATAGCTTCAGTGACGTCCTGAAATATCATCGACTCAACCAAAGTGAACTTAGTTTAAAATAAAAAAGAAATTAAAAAAAAAGATTTTGTTTCCTTTGAATTCACAATCAATTCCTCTCACCAGACCCCAGGTTGGTATGGAATAAGATTTTAGGGGGCCATGGGTGTTCCATTTACTGATTGTTTATTCAGTAATAACAGTTTTATCTTATTCAACTTTAGCAACTGAAAAAACAGGAACTTAAGATGAAACCAGATACCGAGTGGATTGTTATCACAGTCCTCTACGCCATCACGATGCTCGTAGCGTTTGCAGGGAATAGTTTCCTCATCTACATCGTGTGGAAGAAACCTGAAGTCAGATCACTTACCAGCTTTATGTTCGTCAACATTGCTATCGCTGATTTGCTTGTAACCTTGGTAGTGATGCCCTGGTCGATTTCCATAATATATACAGGTGGTTTGTGGATGATCTCGGGAGTATTTGGAAAGGTCATGTGCAAAGGTGTTGTATACATTGCCTACGTCACTTTAACAGCATCCATCCTCTGCCTGACTTTCATGGCGATCGACAGGTACTATGCCATCGTTCATCCCCTCCGCCGCCATCTTTGGTTTCGAAAGCCTAAACTAACCGTTCCATTTATTTGGATCGGCTCACTGGTCTCCATGTCCATTTTCCTTGTTATTCAAACCGTGGAAGACTACAATAATTCTTCTTATTGTATGCTATCTGTTTACATCTTGGGTGATCCAGATAGGGCTCTTCGAGGAATATACCTCCTACTTTTCGTCGTCAACTATCTCGTCCCCTTGGTCGTTATTTCTTTCCTGTATACCATCACTGCATGGAATTTATGGT